GCCACGGCGGGGCTGGGGCCAGCTGGAGTTGGGCTGCGAGATGGGGAAGCGTCCCGGAATGGTTGGCAGCTCGGAGCTGAGTTGAATGGTGCTTGCAGCAGGATGGATGGCTGGGGGAGTTGAGCCAAGGGCAGGGAGGGGGCATTGGGGCAACGTCCCTACTGCCAGCCTTGTCAGGTCTGAGGGCCAGGGCTACCGCAGCACCCCGAGGATGGACACCGGGGGGGCAGGGGCTCTTGACAGCTGAACCCGGAGTCAAGACTGCGTACGGTTCCTGGGAGAGACGTGCCGCCAGGTGCCCTGGCCAGCAGGGACCAGCTCACTCAGCCTCACTCCCTCCCTTAGAGCAGGGGGAGATTTGCGTTGCGACCCATGTGCCCATTGGCAGCAAATGAGCCTGCACAGTGGCCCCCTCCCTTGCTGCCCTGCCGGGCTGCCGTTCGTGGCAAGGTGCACGCTGGCGTCTCCGGGTGGCAGAACTGAGCTGCCTTGCCTGCATTCTGGGCCAGGAGGCTCCCGAAGCAGCTGGAAAACCACGTGGCCTGCAGCACACAGCAGGGCCTGTGCAAACACCGAGTTTCCAATTCCAGCTGCTCAGAGTCCAAGGCGGATGGCCCCCCCCCCGTGTTACCCAGACAGACCGTCGGCACCAGCAGGCCAGAGCCCTGCTCCAAACAGCCACGCCTGGCGTAACAAGGGCCAGGTCTGGCGCGTCCCCCACAGCGCTCGGTAAATGGAGCCAGTGGGGGATTGTGCTCATTCGCACTGTCTCTCTAGCCTGAATTTGTTTAGCTTCAGCTTCCAGCCCCGGCATGGTTTTAACCTGTCTGTGGCCAGTGTTCAATACGTGTTCCCGGGTTGCTGACAGGCAGACTGTAAGCAAGTCCTCCATTCAGCTTCCCTTTGTTAAGCTCCGTAGCCTGAGTGGTGTGTGTCTCGCGACCAAGCATATGGCCTAACCCTTCGAAAACGTATCGACAAGCCTTAGCACAGGCCCAGCAAGCTCACTGGACAGCTCTTTTAAAACTCTTGGATGCAAATTAGCTGGCCCTGTTGGTTTTAAAATCTCTGACTTTACTAGATTCTGTTTAACATGCACCAGCGAGACGGACGGACTGGAGCGACTGTTCGCATCACCAGCGGCAGGGACTGCATCGGTGGGATCTTTTCCTTCTGCGCCGTTTAGCCTGCCAACACACTGGTTCTAACCATCCCCCCCGGTGCACCAAAGTGCCAGGACAACCAACTGGCTTGCTCTGATGCTGATAAATGCTGTTTCACTCCCTCCTTCATTATCTGGGGCTCTGGGCAATTCCAGAATCGCGTCCCCTCGTGGCCTTTGCTTCATAATTGGGCACTTTGCAGCTTCCTACTTTTTGACCCCACCCACCCTGGCTGTACACCTATGAAGGACGCTGTTTACAACCAGAGATTGCTGCCTGGAAGGTGCCACGGAGCATGGGGGTTGCCGTGTTAATGTGTTTCAGCCACGAGTCCTGTGGTACCGTAGGGACTATAAACTGTATCTGGGTGTGAGCTGGACCCCACTTTGTCAAAGGTGTGTGTGTGGGGGGGGGGGGGGGCGAGGTGAAGGGGACCTAGTCACATTGCCTGCTCTGACGATTCACAGCAAAACCTCAGCCACAAAGGGACCGTCACGTTGCCTTCAACGGGCTGGGCCCAGAGAGGTACGATTATCATGCAGGGTTGGCAGTGGCGCTAGTTAGTGGCCACAGCCAGGGACCAGCCCCATGGCGCGGGGCACAAGACAGACATGATCACGTTGGAATTGCGCACCCCCTCCCCCCCCAGTCCCAGGCAAGGTGCATCACAGACAGCACATGCACCGCAGTGCTCTGCCTGGAGCGCTCACCGGCTCAGCCGCGGGGCGCGGGCACTGGCTGCACAGACAGCAGCTGCACTTGTGCACAGGCGATCTCATGCTATGGCCCAGAGCCTTTGGGGAGCAGCTGATGCTGGGGCCAACAGTCTGGAAGGCCCATTTCGGCACGAGCACGGGGATGTGGGGGATGGGGAACAGGCAAGGTCCATTTAACTCCATGAGGGATGGTGCTGTAGCCCTGGCTCTGTGCCTGCCTGCTCCCTGCTAGCCCCTCCTGCCACAGGGCCTGTGCTCTTACAGGAACATCTTTCCCAGCATTCCCGGGGCCCGCGCTTTGTATTTGGCATAGCCAATCAGCTCTAGGCCCCACCCAACAGCTTAGGAAGGTGCGGGGGGGGGGGGGGGGCTGAGCCTCCATTCCCACAGTAGTGGGCCCCACTGCTGCTGGGTCCCAGCCCACGTGAACAGCTGCGGTGCTGCTTGCAGCTGTGGCCGTGCCCTGCTGGGCCCAGTTTGGCTGCCCCTGGAACTGGCCATGGGGTGCTGCGGTGTCACAGACAGGCCCCCAGGCGGGAGACGTGCCACAGTGTAACATGCCCCTGCGGCTGTGGGGCACCCCATACGTGTGTCTTGAAAGGGCAGGTGGCCGCCTCGTGCCCGGGGCAGCGTTTCCATGGCGTGTAAGGTCCCTTGGCTTGGTGCAGCACGTGCATGGTGCGCCAGTGGTCACACTAGGTAGCGTGCCATCGCGCAGGTGAGCCAAGGGGGAAAGACCACACAGTAAGGCCTTGAAAGCCCCCCTGCCACAAGCGGCCTCAGGTCGCCTGGTGTGAACTAGCTCAGCCAGTCAGCCTGGGGGGTTTTCTTTCCCTCTCCACTAATCAGCTGACTTTGCAAACTTGCCCTGCCCCCCCGGCCTTGGTTAGACTGCAGAGCGACCGTTCTGCACCAAGACTGCCTGCCTGGGCCTAAGCTGTAGACACGCCGCGAATGGGTCCAAAACGCCAGGCCAGGGCTTGCTGACTCTTTGGGACTCCATCCTCCCCTCCCCGCCAGCTCGTGGCAGGCGGTTGGCCAGAAAACGGGCTGGCAGGCGTGTCACTTTGCATGGCTGCATGACATCACCTTTGCGCTAGTAGTGCGTTGAGGCTGCCTTTGGGCTGGCAATTAATTCTCCTGCACAGAACCCCTTCTGGATGTCATTAGCAGTTGACTGTGCCCCGGGCCAAACCCCCTTGGAACGCCTTGCGTCCAATCATTAAAAGAAAAGCTTTTCCGAAGTATTTCCTCTGTAATTACAGGGCCTGCTGTCAGAGGCTGAGGGTTTAAAACTGGCACGAGACTGAAGAAAACAGCAGAGCTGGGCTCCGGCAGCTGTGGGAAGCAGGAAGTAAGATCTGCCTCCCACTTTGGGTACAGGCAGTGCGACGTGGTGCAGTAGAGAGCAGCCTTCCTTCCAGCTCAGGGATTTTTCTTCTAAAAAAAGCTAAGCCCAGAGCCACAAAGATATTTAGCCTCCTACCATCTACTGATTTCAACAGCTGGTAGGAGCTTCACTGCCTTGGCGGACTTGGGCTTTAACTTTGCAGCCCTCTTCGCGTGGCTCCGAGGGCTTTGTTTCCGCTGGAGGGATGTCAGGCGGTTGGCTGAATCACTGAAGGCAGGATGGGCTTCTTTTAACAACCGAGTACCATAGCCAGCACAACGAAGAGCAAAGGACCTTGCCAGGCAGTGCTTGTGTAACATGCACCCTTCCCTGGGCGCTTTGAGGAGCTGCGGGTTCTGCCTCTGTTCTTTTGAACTGCAACAAGTTTAGAACCCCTAGGAGCAATTTCCCTGCATGGGAGCCAGCGTGCAGCCCACTGCGAGTGGGAGAAATCCCAAACATTTTAAACACTCGGACCCCCGGGTTGAAGTTCATGCCCCTTTTCCTGCACTGTGGCAGCTCAGTAGCTGTTGGTTTAGTTTCAGGAACTGTTTGTTGGGATTTATCTGAAGAGCGCCTCTCTAAACACCTTGCTCTAGGATCCTAGGAAGGGTAAGGGGAGCAGGGCTGGGTTTTCCGAATGCTGCCCTTCCAGCTTCAGGAAGCTCTTTATTATCCCTGGTTCACAGCTTTTACTGAGTAGACCAGATTCCTTATTTTACGCAGCATTTCTGGACTAGAGCGCACTGGCAAGCTAATGAATATTCCTACTGTTTGGTGGCAGGATGTCTCGCAAGGTGTGGTTTCTCTAGGTCCCTCCATCAAATATTTTAGGTCCCAGCTCCTGTGCAAAATACTCATAACGTAATATTACAAATGCAGCTTTAGATCTCATCTGGCAAAAGGACAAGGCACTTTAGTGAGACTCTGCTCTAATGTCATTGGGGACCGGCAGCTTTCCCTCCACCTAAGGCGATCAGGAAACAGCAAAAACACTGTCATCTAGTGGTAGAGAACTACTAGCAACTGAGCCTTGGCAATGCCAGAAAGATTATAAACACAAACATCTGGAAGTATTACCTAGTCTAGGCACAAAGAGGGGGAAAAGGCCACAGCCAGACCTGGATCAGGCATAAGTAATAGACAGCAGGTTTAAAACAAACAAAAGGAAGTTTTTCTTCATGCAGCAGTCTCAACCTGTGGAACTCCTTGCCTTGTGAAAGTCAGGACTTTAACAGGATTCAAAAAGGAACTAGATAAATTCATGGACGTTGGGTCCATCAATGGCTACTAGCCAGGATGGGCAGGAACAGGGTCCTCAGCCTCTGTTTGTCAAAAGCTGGGAAAGGGCAACAGGGGGTGGATCACTTGATGATTCCCTGTTCTGCTGTTCTCCTCTGGGGCACCTGGCCGTGGCCACTGTCAGAAGACAGGACACCAGACTAGCTGGACCTTTGGTCTGACCCACTGTGACCATTTTTATGGTCTTACAAGTTGGGGGTCAGTGCAAGTCTAAACCAAGGCGAGAATGGAGGGGTACTGAAGCATTTCAATCAAAAGTTGCAACTTCTCCCAAGATTGGTGGTTTTCAGGAAACTGCCTCCATCCTTCACCAATCAGCGGAGAAATGGCTGCTATAAAATCAGTTTTGTGCTGCTCGTCTTCATGTGAGGTGTGTGCAAGAGAACACCACTCACCAACTCACTGCGCATAGGCCACAGCCTTCAGACAGGGATGGTGTACAGCTCCTACTTGCGTAGGGCAAGATCGAGTGATTAAACTCCCTACTCAGTCCCATCCGAACTAGCCAGCCACCTCCTCCCCCTTCCTCCACAGTAAGTGGTAAAAGTGTCTGAAGTTATACCTGTGATATGGCCAACTTCCCATCTATACAATGGCCCTGCTCTGTCTCCAAGGGCTGACATAACTGTGGGGTATCCAGGCACTACAGCAATGGGGCCAGAGACATCCACAGGAGAGTCAGCTGGAGCTGGGTCACCACACTGACTTGTGCCGCTGCGAAAGGGTAATTGACAGGTCGGCATTCATTGTTTTGAGTATGTATTGCCTCCAAATGGTGTAAACCTACCACTGTAACAAACCAGTTTAATTCCTCCTGGAAGAGGAAAAAGTTCTATCACATAAGAGCAAATGAATGGGGGCGAGTGAACACCTTGCTACTGACACTGGCATTGAGCTACTGTGGCACTGGCTGGTCTGGGAAACTTCTATGGGAGTGCCTGAAATCCATCAGCTCTGCCTAGTGAGAGAACGGCAGCGACCGGCTGACCGCAGGGCTCACTGAACGCTACAGCTGTCGCTGCATGCAGAGCTCCCCAGTCAGGTTCGCCTTCCGAGTCAGAGAAACAGCACACTGTACAAGGCACTTCTGGGACCACGACAGCCACGTGAGGTCTCCTGCTATTAAACAGTTACCCCGAGTGAACTTAGATTATTTCCTTGAGTTCTGTTCTTGCTGCAGCTGTTGCACTTTCATGTTGCTATGGCAACAGGACCCGTGAGGGAGGCAAACTAAATGCAGCACGCGCAGGGACTGCAATGCCACGGTGTGGAAGTCAGAACGCTCAGAGGAAACGGTTATGCTGTCTGACAGGATGCCGGAACAAAGGCTTCCTCGGCTCTCCATCATAGCCAAGGGAAGGTGTGTAATTGGCCAGAACTTCCTTCTGTTCAGCCAGATTCAAAGTCGGGCTTATACAGGCTCCTCTATTGCCACAGACCTGGGAACACCAGCCCATCACCATCTTTCAGACACGGGACTCCTGGAGCCTTCAGTTCCACGCATAGAATGCGCCTGCAGGAGCGGAGCCAGTGCCCCTCTCTAACGGGGAGTTCTACAGCTGCACTTCCACACAAGGGCTTGGAGCTGCATGTGGCCAGCATACTGCCTGCCCCGCTGCCTCGTCACTAAGCAAACAGGGCAGCAGGGGAGCCACCAGCCCCTTTGAAGAGCTCGGTGGAAGAGTCGACTCCAAACAGACGAGCTCCCTTATGTCAATTAACTTGCAGTGTCTTGCAGACTCCAGCCAAGATGGAATGTTGCTGTCCTAGCCTCCAGTGCCCTGGATTAGGCAGGGGCTCTATTGTCCTGGGCACTACATAGGTGCTATAACTGGCCCAGAGAGCTTTGTGCTAACTGGCAGCACGGCACCGCCAGAACATGGGCACCAACTGAGCTCTACTTTTCTTAGCACCAAGGGCACAAACCCTCCTTATCTTCATAGGCTACAGTCTGTGCTCCCATCCTGTTCAGCCTCCTCCCTCCTGAACAATGTTGTATCCTCAGTTCCTCACCCCAGCACTCAAAATCAGCGCCTGCTTGGCTCTTGAGATTAAAAATGACCAGAAGTCAGATTTACAAACCAAACCATTTAATCATCTCTTGGAAGTAAACCGTAGAGGAGGCCAACCTCAGATCTTCTGGGCAAGAGGCTGGGCAGGTAAATTCGGCCACTGTGCAGGGCCCTCAAAGCAGAGATCAGGAATGATAGCAGAATAGCAAGGAGCAGCAGGGTCATGCATACAGGTTAGCAGCTTTACATACTATGTGGTAGCAACCCCAAGTAGCCCTAACTCATAAGGGAAGGAGCCAGTCAAGCGTGTTGGGACAAGATTTTCCTGGCAGGGGATGACTCACACTGTGCTTTACCTCTGCTTGCTCCTTCTTCCCTTCACAGTGCTGAGGACGGAACTGACAGGGGCCTTCCCTCCCCGTAGTAGGACTGCCTGCTCCTTATTATAGCTGCTAGTTTGTGTGGACCAATCCTCTCATCCCTGTCTATCCAGCTGTCTGCCTGTATGATGTCAGGGCAAAGGCAACTGATCTGAAAGTGCCTCCCAAGACAGGCAAGAACTGAGAACTCTGATCACTTTGACAAGTGAAAAGAACCTCCTAGCAGCAGAGTGATTTAGTTTACAAGATTTTAATTTACAAATAAAAAACTACACTTTTCATTTTTTCTCTTTTTTCTCCTCTTTCTTGCCATCACCTTTCTCTTTGTCTTTCTCCTTCTCATCTTTCCTCTCCTTTTTGCTCTCCTCCTTCTCCTGACCTTCCTTCTTCTCTGCATCTCTGTTGGCAATCTTGTTGTTGATGAGGTTGTGTAGGGCAACCACAGACCGGATAAGAGAAGCCAAGTAGACCACCACCATCTGGTCATTGGTCTTCAGGTAAAAGGCCTTCACAAACTCCTGCAGGTTGACATCTGGCAGGAGGTTGAAGACATCCTGAAGCTGGTAGATGATCTGGTGATTGATGGGTAGTTTGCCCATGGCCACTTTTTCTAGGTAGCTCCTGATATCCAGAAGCTTGGAGTTCAGTCCCTTCAAACCATGGACTTGGTTTGTGATGCGCTGGGACAGAGTGCCCACTGTTGTGTCTTTAATATCTCTACAATACGCAAAACAGGAAGGAAAAGCCTGAATATTATTTTACATGCATGCATTCATTTTTGAGCTAGAAAGAGCTATAAAAGGCTCCGTTGAAGGGTAGATGAACGAACATTTTACAAAACCCTTCACAGCAAAGATTCAGAAAAAAATGGACTTACATTGGGTGCATTAGACACCTCTAACATCGATGTGATAACCGTTACCACATGTTCTCTATGGACTGAATATTTATTAGGAATACTAGTCGGATGGTTAGAGGAGACAAAGAGAGGACTCCTGGGTTCTATAAGAGGCTGTCACCCACCCTGCAGACTTGGGCAAGTTACATCTCTACAGATTACACAGCTGTAAAATGGGCACCATCGCTGATTTTCACCATAGCGGCCTTGTGAGACCTAACTGTTCACTGAAGGGTCGCAGACTGCTTTACAAATATAAAGACCGAAGGCAAGCCAGAGCAAAACCTCCCGCAGTGACCATGTGTAAATGATGCTTTTCCGCTCTTTATGAGTCTTAATAGATGAAAGGTATGCTTTCTTTGCCCCAGATAATTTTATTCTCTTTCTGGTAGGAAGCCATTGCTGTCACAGTATCAATATGAACATCATTATAAAATGGAAGGCTTCCTGATCTCTAAAGCATGACACTACATTGTTCTGAAGTATCTCCATTTACCTGATGAGTTCAAGGAGCAAGGTGAAACTGAAGTTTTATTCATTTTTTTAAATAGTCACAAAGTCAAACATTTCCCTAAACATGAGTTGAGCAGATTCCAATTATGCCATATTGCTGAATTAGCTTGTTTAAGTGTTTCAGGCTCTTGTTTCTTGTGTCATATCCCTGGGTAGGGAGCTGGTGCCGTCAGTTGTTAGACTGAGCTGCCATTCCACCCTTGATGAAAAGGATTTTAATTACAAATAAGTTTTTACCGTAACAAGTGTTCAACACCAACTTCCTCTGCTTCCTCAGCTCCAATTTCACTGGTCACGTGTTCAAAAGTCTTGGAGGTTGGCGTTCCATCCTTTGTTGGGATACAAGAATAGGAAGGTGATGAAGTTAGAAATAGAGAACAGATGCTGCCAAACCTGGAATTGAAGTGGTTTAGGCATCTGAACAGTAGAATTGCTCCAGTGAAATTTCAAAGCAAGAAGATGTATTAGAAAGCACTGTACACTCTATCCAGAGATAAGTGTGGCCTGCTGGGATGAACAAGTGCGACGTGTGATAAGAATAGGATCAGAATAGCCAGTGATAAGATGGGATAGGAGAGCTCCACATAGTGCTCAGGTATGGTGAATAAAAGTTTGTAACAGAATCCTCAAAGTGGGTTAACTAAGATTATGGGGTTTTCAGTAGGGACAGTAAGAACCTGATATTCTTTAAGTGACTCTAGAAAACTGGCTAGAAATGCCACTAGAAGTCAGTAAAGGAGGAGGCCGTCACCCAAGCAATAAATATAATTATGCAATAAGGTGCTTTAACTTGTTGCCTAATTTCTCTTTGCAAGACTATGTACTGGAGTGTTTGTGTGCTACTCAATGTCATGGGGACTATTTTATTTGAAGATGGGCCTTAGTTAGAGACTTGCATTAGTTTGGTTGTACCATGCTCCAGGCTCAGTAGAGACCAACAGCTGTAAGAAGAGGAGTTCACAAAATCAGAAAAAAAACCCTCTAATAGATTTAAGATTGGAAAAATTGAACAGTTCTCTCCACCATGGGCCTCAGACAGATAGTGACAGACCAGGTTTAAAAAAAATCTGGATTCTGATTTTAAAACCATCAAAATTACATTGGGATGAGAAGTCTCCACTGATTGTAACTGGTGACAGGTAAGTAATTAACAAAGATAATAAAGTCAAAACTCGTGCAATTATGACTAAGCTGGTGAAGATGAAGTGTGTGATTAATCAAACTATTGCTGCAACAAGCTGACATGCATCAATTGTATCATGAATGCATGCTCCATCCTGCCTCTATTCCCATGGGTGTGGACAATCAGTAAACGAGGAGTGTTCTAAACCTATACAGCTTGCTGAATCTCCAAGAACCTGCAGAGCTCTGTGGTTCAAGTAGGGAAGAAACTGCTTCTCAGTGCTGGGAGGATGGCTAATTTTGGTTTAATACACTGAAATGTACAGTGGGGGTTCAAACACTGGTTTAGCAGGTTTAACTTGAGAGGTATAAAAACCCTGGCTAGCAGATGCAATGGTCTCTACTGAACTGAAAAAGGCAAATGGATGTAGTGGAAAGGGTATCCTAATGGACAAAGCAACATGCTTTAATGTATATATTAGTTAGAGCATCCCCTTTTCCTTTTATAGGAAGTCCCACAAAAGTCTGAAAGAGACAAATACTGCAATGATGAACACTCACATCATGAACTTCTTCAACTGAAATATAGGCTTCTGTTGGCAGGCCCAGGTCCTTTGGTTTTACATCAATAATTACCAACACCTAGTGGAGAAACATATATTAGACAAAATCTACGCAAGAACCAGAGGAAACAGATTGTGGCCAACTATTAATTCTCTAGCAATGACAAGTTTGCTATTCAATCAAAGAGTTTTCTAACCACAAGCAGGGGAAAAGCATCTGCCACTGTTTCAAGGGAAACTGATCAGCATGCTCTGTTCATTTTACATGTACAGTAGAGTCCCTATCATCTGACCTAAACGGGACTGACACATGGTCGGATTACCGAATATGTCGGATGATACAGACTCTACTGTAGAGAGCAACGGAACAGCTGATGCCGCTCCTGCCGGGGACGAAGTCGCCGCAGACCAGCATCAGCTGTTCCATTGCTCTCTAGGAGCAGCTGCTGCTGCTGCCACTGCCCCGCTTCCAGGAGGCAGGAGCGACAGCAGCAGCAGCTTCTCCTAGAGAGCAACCGGGCAGCAAGCGGGGCCGTTCTCTCGGCCCATGCTGTATCTGACCCTGCAGCTCCCGGGGACAAAGTCCCTGGGAGCTGCAGGGTCAGATAAAGCGGAGTGTGGGATTACCGGGTGTCTGTTAATCCGGACTCCACAGTACCATACATTATCTTAGAATCATAGAACACTAGAACTGGAAGGGACCTCGAGAAGTCAACGAGTCCAGTCCCCTGCCCTGGGAACCATCTAGACCATCCCTGATGTCTATCTTACGACATTTCATGTCATTACTGCACATTGCAGAGGGAGCTGGAAGGGACTGCACATCCCCAGAAGCTCCATAAACAGCATAAATGCATTACTTACAGAATTAGGACAATATCTCTTCATTAGTTCATTGATGGCAATGTCATTTTTGTGCAGCTTGGGGCCTGTGTGGTACCAACCAACAATTCTTTCCCTGGCTGGGAAAAACAAAAACAATTCATTAGAATAGTCAGAATCTGAGTGACACACTCCTAAAGACAGGAAAAGAGTTCATATGAGCACTCAAATCCATGTACTGCCTGATGATGGTCTGTGCCCCAAATTCCCAAAGGACTTTTAGGAGAACTCCCACTTCTGCTTTTCAGACACCAGTAAAGGCCTAAATGTTCTGAGAAATTAAACTTGTTGCTGTTCCACCTCAGATCTGTGCTGCTGGAAGGCAGTTGAGGAAAGGGAAATAAAGAAGGTGATGACTGAGGGCACATGAAGGCAGGGAGCTGACATATTTAGATTCAAAATTCGCTGGTGAATCTGGAGAAAGGCTTCACAGGAAAGTATTTGCTAAAAATGATTTTTGTGGCCAGGGACTTCACCAATAATTGCACGAGATAGATTAAATGGAGCACTATATCACTGGACAGCCTCGGGGAGCTATTTGCGTGTCACCCCAGACAACCAAACCATGGTAGCGCTATCCAGCCAGGAGAAGCTTTAACAAGAAAGAAGCATCTTTGGTCATTAAACTGAGGCTTTGGAAGACACTTCACAGAAAACAACTTTAAATCACTAACAATGCAAAGATTACTCTAGCAACAGGCTGTGACTGACTTCAGCACCCTTACGATACAGAAGCAAATCAACATCCCCAAGGCAGAGAGGTTCCAAATCTTGTTGGATTTTTATTAGCAATGCTTTGATGTGCACCCTGGAGCAGACAGGAAACCAAAGGTGTTCAAAGCACAGGTGTAGTATCCTATGCTGTTCCACTTCCTTAAACAGATGATCTGCCAGACTCTGCTCTATTCTAAAGCTCCTGACTGGTCTCAAAAGGTAGCTCCCCAGACAGAACACACTACCTACTGATGGTCCCATATTTTACACCCCTCACCAGCTCTGAATGGGTCACTGAATCAGAGCTGCTTTATGCAATATGACACTTCTAAGCAGATGGGCTTTAGGGATTTCTTAGGGAACAATGTGTTTGACATTCTATTGCACAAAAATTCAAACACAAGAAGCTGTATGATCTAGGGATGCTAAATTGCAAACAATCAGCTAATTGAGCAGTTGATGGAATTTTCATCGACTAGTCGATAAGGGGGAAGGCACTCGCCACCCCTGTTGCGGCTCTGCAAGTTAAACGTAGTAGGAACTGGGCAGCAGCCTGGCTCCTACTAAATTTAAAATGCAGAGCTGCAGGGGTCTTGGAGGCAGCTCTTGCCAGCCCCGGAAGCTACCTCAGCTGAGGCTCTGCACTTTAAATGTAGTAAGAGCCCACATTTACTACATTTAAAGTGCAGAGGTACAGTGGGGATAGCTTCCGGAGCTGGCGCAAGCCAGGACTAAGCAGTCCCGGCTCACCCCAGCTCCACTACGACTCTGCCTGCCCAGTCCCCCTCCCTCTCACACCTTGAAGTTAGGGAGAACTGGCTTTTAAACCAGCTCGCCCCAGCACCTGCTCCTGCTTCTCCCCACCCTTGCTGCTTCTGACACAGTCAATGGCTGTGTCTACACTGGGCCACTTATTCTGGAAAATCAGCCGCTTTTCCGGAATAAGCTGCGAGCTGTCTACACTGGCCCTTGAATTTCCGGAAAAGCAACGATGCTCTACTGTACAAAATCAGCCGCTATTCCGGAAAAACTATTCTGCTCCCGCTTGGGCATAAGTCCTTATTCCGGAACACTGTTCCGGAAAAGGGCCAGTGTAGACAGCCCAGTAGTCTTTTCCGGAAAAAAGCCCCGATCACGAAAATGGCGATCGGGGCTCTTTTCCGGAAAAGCGCGTCTACATTGGCCACAGACACTTTTCCGGAAAAAGGGCTTTTCCGGAAAAGCAGCCTGCCAATGTAGATGCTCCTTTTCCAGAAAAACTGAAAACGGAATAGTATTCCGTTTTAAGCATTTCTGGAAAGTCATGCCAGTGTAGACAGAGCCAACTAGTACACTACTCCCTTACATCCCTAGTATGATCTGCACTACTTTCAGACTCAAAACACTTAAGGAATCATAACAACATTAGCAATCTAAGAGTTTTTTTCAAGGGCTGAGAATGTCCACTGGGAATTACCATATCTTTTCCAGATTCAGCCTCTATAATCTTATAAAGGAAAGACAAGTGAAACCTTTCTTAACAAAACCAAATAAAACAGTTCATCTGGGTTTGTAATTCAGATATCTGCACCTATATGAGGGAAAGGTGACAAAGAGAAAGGACATTCTGGTAGAAGGGATCACAGTAGCAGGGTCTGAATTTCTTATTACAGGCAGTCCCCGACTTACGCGGATCCGACTTATGTCGGATCCGCACTTACGAACGGGGCTCTCTCGCCCCGGAGCTCGCAGGCAGCGGTCCCGCCCAGAGCGCAGCGGTCCCGCCACCTCGACCTCCGGGGCAAGAAAAGCTGCTCCAGGTGCCCCTGGTCTGCTGGGGACGGTCAGCAACAGGAGTCAGCAACATTGGGAGGAGTCACCATTTGTTTTCATTCCTGTTTCAGCAAATGAGCAGAGCATCAATTAGATACCACTGGTAACATCTAGTCGAATGAACCAGGTGGAAGAGAGGGATGATAGAAATGGGGAAAAAAGGGAAATGGCTGATACTGCTTGTGGTTCTTACTCTAGCTGTTGATGTCTGTGTAAATAGGCACTTATGTCGGATCCGCACTTACGAACAGGGCTTTCTCGCCCCAGAGCTATTGAAACTGATCAGTGGCTGATTCCAGGAAGCTGGGGGCAGAGCAATTCTGCCTTCAGCTTCCTGTAGTCAGCCCCTGGTCAGTTTCAGCAGCAGCGGCTGAATCTGGAGCCAGTTCCGACTTACATACAAATTCAACTTAAGAACAAACCTATAGTCCCTATCTTGTACGTAACCCGGGGACTGCCTGTATTTAATCTCCAAGAATTGTCACCTCAGTTTTTGGAAGTACAGAGCTACTAGGAGACACAGAGAGAGAGTTTTCAGGCAAATATCAATCACTCACCATTGACTTTTTTAAACATTCCATACATGTTCTCCAGATAATCATGGTCTAGAAACCACACAGAGTCATCTTTATCATCCTCATCAAAAGGGACTGGAAACAAAACAAAGTTAGTTCACTATTTAGTAGATCAACTTCTAGTCTGAAAACTTCTGCAGAAAAATCAGATTTTTTTTTTCAGTGAGTTCTTACCTACAGGTGAAAAAAGTAATTTTGCTCAATTTTGCTCGTATACAACTATTCTGTTATGCTGTGGTGCAGATATAGTTGTATAACTGCAGCAAGATTAGCTGATTATTTCAAAGTGGTTTTCTGATAGTTACTGAATTAGTTTTAGAATTGAACAAGGAAAACAAAAACAATTGAGTTATTCTGGGCAAACAACATCTGCAAAGTGTTCAGGAGCATGCAAGGAACATTTCAGCGTATGAACAATTTAACCAAAATTGGTGAGTAAGGGTTTCTAATAAATAAAACTATGGGCTCCAATAGATCACTCTAGGGCAGCAGTTCCCAACCTTTTTCAGATGGGAACCCATTTTGACAATTCAGGAAGACTTGGTGACCCAGGGTGATTCAAAAACACAGGGAAGTGGAGGGGCAGAGCCACCTGGGGAGACACTTGGTGACCCTTTTGAAATGTAATGGTGACCCATATTTGGGTGGCGACCCATAGGCTGGGAAACCTGCCTAGCCATTTGGGTCAAAAGAGGTTTGAATAATAAAAAACTGTTTTGGTTGTAAGCTATATTCCATTCTATTAGTGTAGTTTTGCATTAAGACAAAACTACAATTCTATGAAGTCTGTTTAAAAAGTACAGCATGCATATGGCATTTTCTTGAGCAAAGAACTAGTTTGTTTTATTAGTTACATTATGGATAATAGGCTACAAGTTTACTTCTGAGCAATGGGTTTTAATTAATATGAATACAAAAAAATGTCCAATTATAAAATTCTACTTTTGGCAGCCCTGCAGTTTAAGTGACCAAACTGCTTTGCCACCCTCACAACTCTGCATAAATAACCCAGGATTTGGCTACATTGTTGTTCCCAGATTTTCAGGCTGGAGTGAACAAGGATGATTCCACTTTATCAATAAATAGCAGATGAATAAGAGGCGATGAGAGAAAACAAAAAGTCAGAACAGGCCATGCAGATATTGATTTTACCACTGTACAAAACCAGAATACAAACTCAAGGGGCAATTATTTTAAATACTGCATAAAAAGTATTTTTCACTGTATCTGCGGAATTATCATGGGATATTCTTTAAAAAAAAAGGTACCTTTCAAATAAACATTAGCCCTCTATGTGAATAAGAAACATCTGCAATGGCACTAGCTAGGTAACAATCCAAGAATCCTCATAGCCCAAGGTCATAAAATGGTCACAAACTAGAAAGAAATCTTCCCTCTCCAAGAACACCATACAATTGCTGCTTTAAGAGTTTTATAGTTGCCTCTGAGCATTCAGCATTGGATACTGATTCAGGTAAAAGGGCAGGAGGAGACTGATGGAACCGGATTTCTTTTGCAACATTTCCAAACACAGATACCATATCTTTGTGAGAATTTATAAATGAGAAGAATTGATGATATGCCAGGATGGTGCAAAACAATATTTGGCAGTTTTGCTGCTAGCTAACTTAATAGGTGGTAAACAGATTAGGACACCCAAACTTACCTGCAAAACTGTTGGAAACGTCTAATATTTTCTTCTGCCAAGAGCCCAGCAACACTCCAACAACTCGCTTTTGATTTCCAACTTTTCCTATTCTAAATGGAAAAGGCTGTCATAGTTTGTACTAAAGGAACACAAAATATCTGATACTTAAAATAAAACACTAACAGTTCAAACGAATTAGTTGTGTCATCTCACTTTTTAAAGTTAGAAGATAAACTGCATGTGGTTCTGGGGTAGGGAGGAGGGAGACGAACAGGGTAATATGTTCCTTGTCATTACACAAGCATAATATCTAAAGAAGTTGTTACAGTGCACTCTAATCCAGGCACTAAATTTGTAATTTATCATCTGATGTGAAAAATGCACTAGATGTTTCCATATAGCTAATGGATGGAGATTACTGTGTCATAAAATAGAGGACTTTTTCTGCATTTGTTCTTCAAATCAAGCTATAAGAAGTACAGTAAACTTTCAACTTTGTTCACTGTCACCCCTAGTTTACTTTTACAAAAGTATATTTTTTCCTCTGCTATTTTATGTTGTCTTGAAGTAAAAGATTTTGCCAGTTGGTGCAATTAATTTTAGGCACACTGAGTGTACATTGCACTAGATGTTTAGAGGAATATAACTTATTCTCTGCGGAGTGAATTGTAGCTTTAAGGGTAAAATCTGTTTAAACCAAATGAAAAATGCCATGTTTTCAATATGAAGAGAGTATACATACTACATTTAAAACCTAAATCAGTTATGGCTAATAAAATGGTATTTACAACTTGTTAACCAATTTCACAGTATTTGACTATCACTTTAACTTTGGTCTTAATTGTTCTTGCTTATGGGAAAAACAAATTTATTTGGGAATATCATGTCCTTTAATGCAAACAAACTCATCGGTAATACCCAACATGACAAATCATAACTCTCACTACATCACATTAGTACTGTTCAAATATCTTATAGCCCAAAATTAGATGAAGTCATCACTCCTAAAAGTGTGGCTATCGCAGTCCATTCATGCAGCATTAGGATATTATAGGTGCATTTTATTGATGCAAGGTAATTCCACTTGCTAATGTTGGGCTTGTTTTTTTGTTTTGTTTTGGTTTTTTGGTATACAGTTCTGTACACATGCAAGTCCCTCCCCTGAATTGACTAAGTTAAACATGAGCTCCAAGATTTTCAGAATTGTATGATGCATAAAAATGTACATTTAACTGATTGCATAATTTGGAAGCACAAGTTACCATAACTGCATGAGCATCCTGGAAACTGTCCAGTCAGATGGTTTAGTTAATTGTTCATTTATGCTCACAACTGCAGCAACAGGCCATATCCAAAATCTGAATATCTGGTGCTGACTTTCCCATTTATGAAGTTATCTAGACTACTCCTCTCACTTCTGAGGAATTCTACCTTTCTGATACACACACAGTCAGAATGTCAACCTACTGAAGCAAAAGCTTCACAGGTTTTCTGAGATGCTTGTTCTGGGTTTTACTGATTAATGAGATACATAAACAGTACAAAGCTTAAAGCTTTTTCTGAGTAACTGCTTATTAAAAGGCTACATACACTCAGTAATATTTACTTTAAAGAGCAGTTTGGGATCTTTAGGGATGGAAGACTCATGACATAAAATGTAATACTAAGACCAAAATAAGGATGCAATAGTGTAGTCGATTAACCGATAAGTAAAAGCTTATAAGTTAATGCTATAGACTACACGCATTTCTTACGCTCCCCGCCCCGGCCAGGACATTTTTTTAGCAGGCTGGTCAGCTGTCCAGCTCAGTCTCGGCTTGAGATGGTTCTGGGACCTATCCCTGCTGTGGCTCTGCATTTAAAGTGCATTAGGAGTTGGGCAGGCAGACAGTCCAGCTCATGCCAGGTCCAGGAGCTCGCTGCTGCCAACCTATGCTGCTGCCACTTTATCAGAGGGAACAGCACAGCGTGGCAGGTTTTTAAACTGGCTCCCCTTCCAGACCAGCTCTTGCCTGGCACCCCGCACTACTGACTCTGACACAGAGGCAGCAGCACAGAGTGGCAGGGGACTCCTTGGGAGTGAGGTGCACTGGCTGCTGGCCCCACCCCCGGGACTATAGAATAGTCGACTAACCGATAGGAATTCATGAGGTTACTTGACTATTCAATTAACCGATATTTAACATCCTTAGCCCAAAGACTGCAGTAACTCTCTTGTATGAGGGCGAGGGCCATTACTGCAGAATAGTTGTGTGCACTGAGGTATAAGGTCGACAGCTCATTCCTCAGCACTGTGAGGATGTAGCTATGAATTGCTCAGACCCTTAACAGCAAACCTCAGCTCTGCAGGTCCCAAGTTTTTAATACAGTAACCAGTTCCTATGGTCTTCATATCATACAGACCAGCCCCAGCAGGCACAGGGAGGTTTTTGGGGGAGCAAGAGAACAGTGCACAGTTGCAGAGAAGTGTCATGGATGCCTAAATCCTACACAGGAGTCACTGCAAACCCTGAGGCCCTATTTTAACAATCCCGTATACAAAGGTCAGGCCTGAAAACAAGCACTGCACCAGCCAGGTTCTCCTCACTGCCCCCCACCCCGGGCCACCCATTCCTCCCTATCCCTCTCCTTTCCCTC